CTAAGGGAATCCATTCGACCTTTACCCCATTGGATTTGTTAGGAAATGCATGTTTGTTGAGCCAGTACAGGAGAAAATACATATGTTCCTGATCTATGTTGGCATTAGGAAAACCTGCACCAAAGTTGCTTTTCACAAAAGGGATAAAACCCTTGAAAGACGTCTCATAAATCTTGAAAGTTGCTGAGTTGTAGTCTAACTGAAGAAAGGAAGCCGATGTGCCCGAGCTTGTGCCTGAACTTTCAGCAATCGTGTGAGAAGGAAGAGCCCAAGCATGAGTTACGTCCACAATTCTGCCCGATGGTCTTAACCCAAAGACTTGTGCCATATCCAAGATAGTAGGAGACATGGGACCCATCCTGAAGTTAAAGGTGTTGGTGCCCGAGTTCCAAAAAAGAAAAGTAGTGGTCAATAATTCTGGCTTCGCTACCACGGTGGTCTTTGAGAGCATTATCAGCTCATAAATACCATTATTCATCCATTTATTTTTTAAGATAGGCTCGAGCTCATTTCTCCATTTAACCTAAGCCTCATCGTTCATTAGAGGGAAGCCACGGCGGTGATTTGACCACTTGGACGAAAAAATGCCCGATTCAGCTAGAAACGGGTTCGGAGTGAACCAATTGACTTTTGGCATGCTGGCTTCTACTGTAGAAGGAACTTGAGAAACCTGTGCAGGTCCCAGTCAGTGGACCCCTTCTTCCTTAAAAAAGAATTCAGAACGTAGACCTGCCCGAGGATGATGAAGGGCATTAAGCAGAGGGCGTAGGGTGGGTGACTATACCCTTACCAGATTCGTATGAAGATCGGTTTGAAATAGTTTTTGGGGCCATTAATTAGATTTGGAAGGAAATAAAAGATTTTTTTTCAAAAGGGTAGAAAAGAAGAAGCCAGAAGAAGGAAATATTTTTGAAGACCCTAGGAGTTCTGGAAAAATCTGGGGAATTTTGGAAATTTAAACCGTTCAGAGGAAATTACATAATGAGCTGTTGATTAAAGGGAAAAAATCATGGGTTAGTGGAAAAGACTTAGGTAGAGACGGTTGCTTTAGATGGCGCTCAAATTAAGTGTAGGCGCGCGGCAACTTTTCAATCATTATTAACACCTCGGTTTGAAAGCTTACTAACAATTGAAGGGGGCACTGTTTGGGTTAATATTTGAACTTTGGGCCGAAGGAAGAGGCGCCCAAAAGGAAGCCTAGAAGACATGACTCTGCCCGAAGGCCCAGCATCAAATCCATTCGCCCAGCCCAAGGAAAAATGATGATTCCACATTAACTGCAAAGGCTAGTAGCTTGAAAGAAGTGACACTTAATGGAAATCAGCCTACTCTCAGTCCAAAAGCACTTTATGAATGGCAAAGTACGTAAATTATTGATGAGTCACTACTCCTTAGTTACTTTCGGGCAGAAGCCAAGTTGCAAGCAGTCAGGCTAATTCAGCTATAAAAGGAGGAAGAAGGCCTAGAGACAAAGACACTCAACCAATCAAACAAACAAATACACAAACTCTGCTCAAGCCAGATTTGCATACGAAGTTGTAGTCAGCCCCCAACCTCAATCATTTTCAGGATCAGCCCTCACAAAAGCCATATTTTGTCTAGTTTAATAGCTCTACTACTCTTTCAAGCATAGTAGTATCGATTCTCTTATGTTCACCCTGCTCATCATTCACTCCCTTTTCTCCCCAAACCTTTGTACTTACAAAGAAGTAACGCTGTACAAGATTCAACCTTGCCCGACAAGGTTAAATCTAGCCCGACTCCCTTTGTTTTGTTCCTTACTTAATAGATCTAGCATTATCATGTATCCTTCAATATATATCCAAGTTATTTCCAGTCTTTTAGTGGTTCAAAGCGTATCATTTGGGCATTACTATTGAAATAAAACCATTCAACCAGATTCGGATATTCGTTCTTTAAAGCATACAAGATGAACAAAAGTCCTTGACCTCAAGGCATAAAAAAGAACTTAATGTAGACTTAACCCATCTACGACAATCCTTTGATAACAAGAAGTCAGAGTAACTTGGGGCGCAAGTAATCGGCTTAAATACACTTGTTTTACATCTGCCATACGAAGATGGCAGTGGCATGCCTAAGCACTTAAAGTTAGTTTTTGATTGTGAGCCTCCAAGCCTATACCTAAGGCTCTGCAAACACCTTTTCAAAACTAACTTTGTTCTCCTCTTGCAGCATTGTAACAAGCAGGAGACGGACAATCAACCAAAGTGCCAACTCCTCGGGGAGCTGTGTCCTCGAGCCAGGAACGCCCACCAGTGATATTCCTGCCCGAACACTTGTACCCAAGTGAGATCATCAGTGGATACAATGAAGCTATCAAAAAGGTTTATCAACTTATGACTTTGTATTTTTGTCGAACCCAGATCATTGGAATTCTTGTGTTCTGAGTTTTGTTCAATTTTTTGATTGTTTCAGACAATTGAAATATTAGATGGATTGGTTGAGGAAGGTTATGAGAACATGGATGTGAGCAACAAAGAACAAATGGTCTGTAGAATGAAAGCTGCTGTTGCCAGCAAGCAATTCGGGCAAGATGATATCTTATCCTAATTTGTTGCCGATGTAAGTTTTTCTCTTATCTCCTTATGCGTTATTGCTTAATTTCTATCTCAGCTACTCAGCTACTTTTGATCTAGAATTATTTTTGTCATTTGTACTCTTACAAGTATTTTTAAGTATTTTTATCCCTATTTTTGCAGATGGTAAAAATCCTTATCAGGACCTTAGGAACTGTATCAGACATTCATTTGCTTGTCTTCCTTGTCTTCTCATGGTAGGGAATGAAGGATCAATAAAATATCAACCACCATTGGTGTGCTCTTCTCAGTTTCTTCCCCAATTTTTTGAGTCTGGAAGGAGGAGCTGTTATCTCGGTTACATATCAAGTCTTGTAATACAAGTAGTCCTAAAAGAAGTGACAAGTTTCCCAATTTGTAGTCAAAACTAAAAGTCAAATACTTTGGGTTTTGCCTTCAGCAATAAATTTGCTTTGAAGCATTTTGTTGCTATCAAATTATCATAAAGTACAATGATAATTTTATGTGATTACGATATTTGCATGGACGAATTGAAACCTACATGGTGGGTAACAATTTCTGCAATGAAATTGTGGTTGCATATAATTTCTTCATTTTTGTTCTCTTGGACTCTACGGTCAACGGAAATTGTGGAGATCCACCATGTGGTTATTTAACATTTGTTGTACTTTCTTTTTCACCGTTGGATTAAGATTGAATGGTAGGTGATCACGAAGCTTATCAAGAAGCAAAAAATTTAACGATCATGAAAGAAACTGCAACTGATCATTCTGATACAAAAAACAAAATGTGACGAAAGGATAAACGTACCAGAACTTTTGCAAATCCGGAGTCACAAAGGTAACATGGTGGGTGAGGGGATCTACGTGCCTCGTATGTATGTGTTAGCCCCCTAAATTCGTCATGGGCCTTGCCAGTAGGCCGGAAATTTATTTGAACGTGAGATTAGAGATTGCGAGTGTGCCACTACTAGTTACCACTAGTAGACAAGATTTGAGTGATGTAGATTGCGCTATTTAACTTCTAACCAAAAGATTAGGGCATTTGAGCGGGAGTGACTCAATTTAGGTTCTTTCTTTGCCTTATATGTAAGAACTTTACTTATGTAGAGAATTCAATCACAATATGTAAATGGTGGAGAGAAAGAGAAATTGCTAAAGCACTGTATTGAAATGACAATAACAATTCAAATAGAGAACTTGTATTGAAATATAGGAATACTTGTACAGACAACAAAGATATAATGAATTAACAGAGTGCTTTGACTTTAATCAAAAGAAATGACAGAGCTTGCAATATTGAAAGAAAGTCTTGCAATATTGAAGAAAGCTTTGAAATGAAATGGGTGCAGCTGTAGAGAGATTTGTTTGATTGTTTGGCCCCTCAACTTCTCTGTACTATACTTTTCTCTTTCATCTAACTATTTTAGCCTTTCAAATATGTATAAAGTATTAACGTTCTTTTTGAACAAGAGGAGACACAATATGACCTGTTCTAAAAAAGTCGAGGCATTTCAAATTGTTTGTTAACATGGACAAAGTCAAGAAAAACCTTTGAAATTATTTCAATGTTGGACCTTGGACATATAGTGTCCCTTAACCACATCCTTATAAAATGATATTAAAAGAAGCCACTTGATGCATTCCACCTTCCAAACCCTACTTGTATGAAAAATATCTACAAACACATATCATATATAATGGTGGCCTCTTAAATTTTTGTAAGCCAACATGTGCCACTTGATGTAAGTCTAGCCTAATTTCACAACCCCACCCACAAAATGTCATAATTTGACTTTAGGCCCAAATGAGTGAAGTTTGCCAATTTTAACGACAAACAATGTGAATCATCCCATTAAGCTTTCACTCCGGAGGAAGCTTCAGGAGCCCAAATGCAACCGCAAGCTTCTCCCTGTGAGTGGACATGGCATACTCCTTATTTTCAGGTGTTATTCAATAATCATCAGAACCCTATAAATTTTAGATTTTATTTAGAGAACTGTTATTAGTACTTCAAAATTTTCATTTTATACCCCTCGCAAGTGTATTTTTCTTTCTAATTATATAAAGTTTGGAATGCAAAAACAAAATTTTGGAGTGCCAATAAAAACTCCCCTTATTTATGCAGGCAAATAAATTGACTCAATTTATGATTTTTAGCAGTTCGATCATCCATTTTCAATTCTAACTTTTATATTGGCCATTTTAGGTGACCAAACAATTTCGAAATTGAAATTTCACAGGCTTGACCTTTGAAAGAGTACCTAAAATATAGAAGGTTCAAATCATCCACATTAGATTTACGTTCCCATTTAGGTTCAAATCATTGCAGTTTTTGCTCGCTCACTTACTTTTATTTTGAGTATATTATACAAACCTTGGGAGGCAAATTTGTTGTTTGGTTTTGCGTTAAGTAAGAAATAAAATCAAAGTTTTCGGAGTATTGTTACGTCCTCAAGGAATAATAACCGAGTAGAAAAATACCAAGCAAGAATATTCAATTACATGATGAAGCTCAAAGCTGTGGCTGTCAAACAACATAGATTTGAAATTATCCACAACTGCAGTGTTGGAGGAGACAGTAATCAATAGTAAAGATATAATTTGAGACCATACCGCAACCAGACAGTAGAAACAACACAGATAATAAAAGTAAAACACATGCCGCACTACCATTTCGCCCCTCGGGCTCCTGCTGGACTTTTTACAGCCACTACTAGCTAGATTTGGATAACATTACCTTGCACTTTTGGCTTTCTGGAATCCTTACAATCAAAATGATGTACAGACGCAGGAAGACGGTATGTTTAGGCTAAAATGACGGTAGATATGATCGACGACTTCCAGGTTAAGCCGGAGAGCCATTGTATGTATACATCTTTGGAAGGCGAGAACAGCAGATTAGGCCAAAATGCTCAGTTATATATAGACCACAAAGAGGCCCTCTTTTGCTTCACATCCGTCCACTAGTACAAAAGATAATTCCTTGTTTCATCACTTTACTTTTAAGTTCTGACTGGTTGTGGGAATCCAAGTCCAGCCTGCTGCCGCACATGCTCTGGTATGAGCCTCTTGATCAATTCAGGTGATACTCCATTTAACTGCAAGTCAATTTTGGAGCACGGTGGGAGGCACGAGTCAATTAAAACTTGCACGAGTAGAGTAGAAAATGTGATTGCTAAGAAAATTTTCATTTGAACTGGTGGATAGTAATGAAGGGACAAGACAAAACATATATAAGTCATTTTCATAGAGTTGCTGCCTCACGAATTTCCAACCACTTAAAAGGCCCTACTCAATTCTTCCAGATTATGCAACCCAACTAAACTTATGGACAAAATTTGAAGAAATTTCATATATTCAGGACTGATTCAATCAGACATGCACGTTCAAGTGCTGAAAGGCCCAGAATATCTGAATCGGTGGAATTGTTTTCAGGGAAAGGTACCACGATGAACAAGCAACGAATATATATAGTTGAGACTAACATATTTCTATATTTCATCATTTCGTTAACAGGTAAAAGTAAATGAATCTGAAACTCACTTCTTGTTTGAAGTTGAAAAGTGGCGGCAACGGGCGACCATTTGGTAGGCGAGCATTGGGCTCACGGAGATCGTCGAAGAAAGGATGCGTGCATGCCTCTAGCTGTAAATGGACGATCAGTGAAAATTCAGATATTAGAACATGTCAAGAAGTGAAACAACTCAAAATCGACTGACAAATTATTCAATTCCAAGAGCCAAGTACAAAAGTTGCAACTCAGCACATAAATGGAAGCTGCCAAACCGAGGGAACTCTTTTCAAATCTTATTTTAATCACATCACAAAGCATGATGTCTTGGCTTTGAAACAGTAGAACTCCATGTGAATAGAAGTCCAACTCACCGCAGTGCAGCGTAGACTCGGTGAATATTGAAGTAGTCGTGAAGCAAGGTCAATTGCTTCGGGAGGCATTCTCTTGTGGAAAACCTGAATAGAGGAGCATGTCACAGATGCATAACCATAGGATTGATGCAAAACGAAAATAAGCGCACAGATAACAGTAATTAAATCCCTACAGTCTGTTATAATTAATAATTTTTTAGTCAGCACAGGTAAATATGGACAATTCAAGAACAAGAATATGTTCAAGAAATAAAAGGAAAGAACCACAGAAACAAAATTGTACTTAAAGAAATTGCATTTTGTGGAGAAGCACTCCACAGAGACAGATGAAACTAAAAACTCATTTACCCAAAAGAACAATTAAGGCCACTCATGATAGCTAACAAAGACAACTGCTACTATACTACAAACCCAAGAAACAATCAACTTTAACATCAACTCACAAGCCTTCCAATTAAAATTAAATGAATAAAAAACAGAACGAAACAAAAGCTCCTTGAATTCCATCACAAACAAATCCGAAAGAGAGGACCATAAACGAATATTTCCCATAGTTTCTCCACACTCACTCCTTCACAATATCAAAGATTCTTCTATTTCATTCCCGCTAAACCAGCCAAAGTATAGCAAACACCATACTCCCAAAACCAATTTAGTTTACATAACCCTCCCAGCCACCCTATGCTACCAGACAATAAGGGCTAACAATCAACCCAACTCAAATTTTGAACAAAAGGTTTCACCATGTCCAGAACATAGAGACATGTAAGCGTATGTCTACACCGCATACTAACATCCTCCTCTACAAGCACCGCCTTAACAATCAACTTATTTGAAGGGTTATCTAAATTCATACCTTATGCCAAGGATGAGCTTTAATCTGAGGGAACCTAAAATCAGTGTAATTTGGATTCATGCATCGAATCTCTTCTCTAGTTGGAGTGCCAAGAACCTGCAAGAAGACACATAAATAGTAAGAACACACACTTGCATGATCCATCTAATTCAACAAAGATAATGAAACACGACCTTGATAATCTCTACAAGTTGGTCCACTGCATTCTCTCCAGGAAATAGTGGCTGTATAACAGTTTGAAATTGTTTATAAGTCAAAACGTACAAACAGTTTCACCCAAAAGTTAACTTAGGCCAAGAATAAGAACTTTACTCCCAAAGAAGTAGATAACCTGGCCTAGAAGGAGCTCAGCAAGGACACAACCAGCTGACCAGATGTCAATGGATGTTGTATATTCTGTCGCACCAAAGATGAGTTCAGGAGCCCGATAGTAACGAGAACATATGTATGATATGTTTGCTTCCCCCTTGACCTGATTACAAAGAAAATCATTAAAACAGAAATTATTCAAGGAAACTGATTTAGTTACCAACTTCCCAACTGCATTAACATGAAGCCTCCGGATAAATAGATGACTGATGTATAGCCAGTCTTATACTCAGATTAGCAGAACTATGGGAAAATAGTGAAGATGACACCATACCAGAACTTTTGCACTTCCATAGTCACAAAGCTTAACTTGGTGCGTGAGGGGATCAACCTGCCATGTGTACGTGAAAATAACATAAACAATCTACTTCACATTGGGCAATGAAAGAAAAAAATAAACAAAGAACGCGTACCAAAGATTTTGAGGCTTCACATCTCTATGGCATACCCCAGGAACAGCATGGATATAAGCCAGGCCCCTAAAAATCTGAAAAGGACGTTTTTACATTAATTACAAGGGCATAAGTCAATACAAATGATTATCAACATAGAAAAAAGTTAATAGGAAAAAAACCATAACTAACAATGATCCATACTTGATATGTATAAAGTTTCACATAGAGGAGTGGCATCCTTTGGTTCATACTACTGTAGTGCTTCAGAACCCTGTACATAGTCTCAGGTACATATTCCATAACCAAATTCAAGAAAAGCTCATCTTTAGCCGTTGTAGAGAAGAAACAATGCTTCAGTGAAACAACATTTGGGTGATCCATCAAGCGCATCAACTGCAACTCACGATTTTTATACCTCCTGTCTTGTAAGACCTTCTTTATGGCCACCGTTTCTCCAGTTTCAATGCATTTAGCCTGAATTAAAAAAAAATCACCAAAGACTCAATAATGAAAAGAATGCAAGAACGCTTTAGCTGTCATTAGAGTAAAATATATACCTGAAAAACAATTCCAAATGATCCAGTACCTACAACACGCTCTGCCATGTAACTGATTGTCTGCAATCAACAACAAAAGGAACACTTCAGAATACATAAATAAGTGGAAGCTGAATAATTCTTCATAAATTATCTATCAATGTCATAGGTAAAGGACCTCAACTGTTAGAACTTATATATCAAGTCAAGTAATAATTGATTATGAATGACAAAAGTGCACAGATTTTTGTGCTATAAAAGGTATTAAACAGGATGAAGGAGTTTGATCAAAGTTGTAGCCTTCAGATGGATCAAATGGGGTAAAGGATGGAAGAAAGAACCAGTACTAACCCGTTTTGGTTCGCCATTTTTACCACCTATTGTTGAAATGATGTGACCAGTGACTGCATCATTTCCCTCGACAACAGGAGCCGACATTTCCTGCAATTTACAGAAACAAAAATTTCAAACAAGTACAAACTTCAGGCTTGCTTTGAAAAAGTATGACTGGCAAGCTGATGATTGCTAAGGATTCACCCTGCCTAAATGCAATTGAAACCAGTAGGCCCCTTACGGGAGATGCCCCAAAATACCCCTAAAATAATCCAAACGAACATATCGACAATGCCTTTCTGTTCTTATACCAATTCTAAGACTTATCACTCTTCGTTCAGCATTTTAGATAATCTCTATGGGTTAAAAAGTACCTTCCAGAAATGATTGCATGAATTTACAAATTTCTATACATATACCATACTGTTTTGTATGATTGTATATATGATGCAATACATTACGTGTCTGGTGAAGTTACGAAAGCATGCATACCCCTCTATATTAATGAGAATCCGGGAAAAAAAATATGCTTTGAAACCTATGTACTACACAAAGTGAGAAACTAATGTACACTTAACAACCATCTTAAGCAACAAAAATGTTGAACACATTGATGATAACAGTAGTACATACATACAAGTTTAAAAGCGACTCAACAAACAAACATAACTGCTGCAAACATATGGATATTCAGAACGAAATTTAGGAAAGGGGAAAGCACAAAGATCTCAAAAAATACTTAGCAAAACAAGGTGACCCAGTTTACAAGAAAGCATCACATTCTATAAAACTTGCATTCGAAAGAATCAATAAACATCAGCTTCCTGAAGCAAACTAGAATACTCTGAATAACAATCCACCTCTAGGAAAGAAAAAGCACAAAATGTTGGCAAAAATAACAACATGGTTAAAAAAACTAGAAAACCCAAAAGAGAACCAGATTCAGATTAACAAAGCCTCCAAAGACCAACAGAGGAGTACCAGAACAAGCATTCGATCCAAAGAAACCGAGCCGAGGAGCAAAAGCGCACCGGGGTCAAACTTAAAATATGAATATGAACAAAAGGAAACAATTAAAAAACAGGACACCCCAGTTGCTCAAATTGGCTGCTGAGTGAGAAAGTTATAGCAATCAGAACTTCTAAATTCAGCTCCTCTAAGCTTTTATTTCCATATTAATTAACCAACCAGCTTATAAACACAAATATAATTTAACCCAGTCCCACATTTTCTATAATTCTTTCTCCTAATTTTCCTAAAGTAGCTTCTCGGAAACAAAATTTTACAAAAATTTATTATACCTGCAAAAATAATAGAGGAAATACAAAAATAAAAACAAAAAAATTGAGAAAAAAAAGCACAAAATCTGGCCGGAGAGAAGCTTCGGCGAGGTGGGTAAGACCTCCAAAGGCACAGAAAGTTGCAGATCGATTAGAATTAGTAACGAAAGTGAAGAGTTGAGGTGGATCAAAGGCGATCTGAGCACCAAAACCTACCTTTACGTAGATGAAGCAAACCTCTAAGAGAGCAGAGCTCGAAGAGGTGGCTGAGAAATGTGAGAGAGAGGAGAGAGAGGAGAGAGAGAGTACCTTGTCGGAGTCCATTTGGGGGGCTCGGCGAGTCACGTGGTTCAGTGGCTCATTGTGGTCTCGCTGTCGCTGTGGCTGTGCCTCTGATTGTTGATGCTTTGGCCCCAAACCCACAGAGGCCATGTGATGTGAGACTGCGAGTTTCTCACACACTCACCATCCCCCACACGCTCCCACACACTCTTTTACTACTGGAAAGAAAGGGAAGTCTCATTTTTCCCTAAAAGTGTCATTTTCTTATAATAGGATATAAATTAAGTGAATTTGAATCCGAGACTTCGAATACAAAAGTGAATAATTTTAATCAATTAACTGCATAAAACGTTATTATCCTAATCTTTCATTTTCTTTATTTTCGTCAAGATCATCTCTAAAAAATTTCATTTGACTTTGAGATTTAGAATTGAATCAATAAATTGTCGGTTAAACATGATAAGGCCTTATTACCATAATTGTCAATTGGTTTGAGCATATGAATGTCCATGCGGTCTTTAAATCGAAATCTCTTATTATTTGGGCAAAATCGAATAAATTCTTCTTACTTTTAATACAAAAATGGTATTGGTACCAAATAATTTGAATGTTAATACTTAATAATGTAATGCAATAACATTCAAGTTGTTGTAAGCCTAATTTAATTGAACAATATAAAGGACAAAGAGGGGGTGCAGAGGCAAGGAAAGAAAAGAGAGAGTGTAATTGTGAGGTGTATGTTATCTTACGCCATTGTGCCTTTATTGATTGTACTGGTGAAGGTAAATTCCTTACCCCAATAAGATTATAACTCTAATAGGATAATATATAATCTAAGAGATATGGTAGAATCTCACAAGGATATCCCAAGAGATTTACGTAATCACATTCCTAATCTAATAGGGTTACAAAATTTCCCCTTGAGTGTGTAAATACTCAAACAAAAATCGCATAAGGTCTTCAGCTGATGAAGTAAATCAGTTGATGAAGTCATCGACACAACAGGCAAATACAAGTCTCAAATTAACAAAAGCGTGCATGGTTAGTAAAACTCACAAAACCTTGCTATGGTAAAACCTAAAAGTAGGTGCAAAGCCCATAGACTGAGGAGAAATGTGAGAAGTATGCATAATGTCAAAAACAAACGTCATACAGAATGAAAGTAGTAAACCTCATAAGGGTTTGACCAACCTAGGATGGGTGCCTCATCAAAACCTCGTTAGGTAGTAAAAACCCAATGGGAAAAATGCTCCTAATCGTAGGGAAAATAGTACATTAAGATCAAGTGAGTATATTTGTAGACACTTCCCTTGAGTTTGACAAAACTTCCAAATAAGAGAACTACAAGCTATTCAGATCATAAGTTTACGTATATCGATTCCTTGGACGAGTTTATGAAAAATAGACTTAGGCCATGACTTCGTGAAGAGATTGGTCAGGTTGTCTTGGGACCGGATTTACTTGACTTCAATGTTCTAATGTTGTTGTTGTTGATGAGAATAAAAGAACTTTGGCACAATGTGCTTGGTGTTGTCTCTCTTAATGTACATTTTCTTTAGTTGGTCGATACAACAGCTTTTGTCTTTAAAGATTGTTGTAGGAACTTCAACGACAGTAGAAAGACCGCTAGTACTTTGAATATGTTCCATCACGGCTCTTAGTGCAACAACTCGTCCCTAATTTTATGATTTTTATAATTTTGAATGTGTGTTTTTATGAAAATGTCCTTTGAACTCCAAGCAGGTATAATCTTGTTCTACACCTCCCTATCTTCGTTTTGATATATTATGGGTCAAATTTAATTCAGAAATGAGAAAAATATGGCCATTTGAAGACTGCCCAATTTTTTAGCCATTAAACCTAGATTTCGATGGGTTTTCTAGTGGACCAGGTCACCTAACAATCTAAAATCCAGATTAAAACCAGATCTGACCCGGCCTATCTCAAAAACCGAATTCGACTTGGACCAACTAAAAAACTGAACCTGACCTAGTCCAACCCGTTGACCCGACCCTGTTGACCAACTTGTTGATCGATCCGTTAACCTGACCTGGATGGAATATTCCCTAGAATATTATCTAGAATATTCCATGAGTTAACTTTTACGAAATTTTCTCAGGAACCCTCCTAGACTAATTTCGGTGCCCCAAATCCATTTTTGATACCCATTTAGTGAAATTCTAAAGTTTTAATGTAGTTGATTGGCTTGGCGTCTCAATTGACTTTTTAGGTTGATCGTTGACTTTTTTATTGACTTTTTACGAAAATTTCCTGAGACCCCTCTTAGAGTAATTCGACGCCCTGATTCCAAATCCACTAGGGTTTTACTTATTGTTCCCTTTTATGTGCCTAGGTGCATTTGTTAATGGTGACCCCCTCCTCTTTAATTTGCACGGCTCTTCGGCGATGAAGTATCTGTGAGTGGACCCCTTCTTAAATTGCATGATTTTTATTAAATGCTAGCCTTGCATTCGTGAAAAGCATGGTTTCCTAATTTTATGTTTCATGATTTATTTACGATTTATTGAATTTACGTTTACGAAAGATTTACAAACCATGGCCTTTTACACTTTACAATATATGATGGATTTATGAATGTGAAGTTATAATTTCACATGACGGATTTATTATGATTTCGGATGATGAGTTTTTGGTATTCTACACTTGGTTAGAGATTTTGGTTACGTTTTTCGATGCTTATCTAGTGGGTAATCATACAATACATACACACAACTTGAGTATGTATACGTGCCTATGGCGATAGGACACAGTTGATGAGTAGTGAGATATTTATGACATACTCCCAGCTTCACTGGCGAAACCAGTGTCAGACAGCTTCACTAGCCACGACTATTATTGTGTGTTATGTTATATTTCTTCTCTGGCGTAACCCAGAGTCGTACAGCTTCACCTTCGGGTGATGAGACCTACCATATGTCTTCACTGGCATAACCCAGTGTTGTACAACTTCACCTTCGAGTGATGGTTATGCTTTTGGGCTACTATGGTACCCCTAGTTGAGTACATCATTGATTTGATTTACGAAATTCTTGGGATTTGCCCTCGAGCATTTCGTTATCACTTTTAGATATGATTTTACTGTATATGAATATTTTGGGCATGTAGGGTTTTCAGAAAACCTATTATGTAGTATTATATATGTGTTTTCAAAATAGAGGGTTAGTATATTCAAAAGAAAAATGGTTTTACTTAGTATTATTATCATAAACTTTGGTCCACTCACCTTTTATTTTTGCGCCCCTTTCAGGACTTAGAATCAAGGCGTCCGATCCCTGCATCAGGGCATTCTCGTATAGGTATCTTTGAGTCTTCTCATTGTAGGACCCATTCCTTTGATCGTACATGTGCAAAGAAGGCCTACTGACGCTCCGATTAGAAGATGCGACTATGGGACAGAGGTTCAGGGCCGAAGGGGTAGAGGAAGACCTAGGAAAACTTTGGAAGAGACTCTAAGAAAAGACTTAGAGTACTTGGATCTAACGAAGGACATGACACAGGACCGAGCACAATGGCGTTCTAAGATTCATATAGCCGATCCCACTCAGTGACTTGGATTTTCCAAGTCCCCAACCGAGAAGTTTTCCTCACTCGAAAAATTAAGGGAACACTACCCCAACCTACATGCTCCACTCAGAAAGCTTCAACATACAAGCTTCAACAAAAGAAAATTCAAAGAACTTAGCGAAGAAGGCTTTGGTGTATTTAACACAATACGTTGAAATGAAGGAAAACTTATTTATTGATATCCCCGATAAGCTACAAATATGTACATATACATGAGTCAAAATAAACAAACAAGATGGAGCCTTCACAAAGGTTGCTTAGGAGAAGTCTCAGCAGTCGGTAGAGCCCCAGAAAGAGAAGGCATCGGAGAGGGATCATTCGGAGCCTCAGTACTGGACAGAACCTTAGAAGGAGGAGGCATCAGAGGTTGATCATTTGGAGCTTCATTACGCGGTACAGCCCCAGAAGACGAAGGCAATAAATGCCTTTGGAACAAACCCACAAATCTCTGATGATCAAGTAAAACCTGACCATCAGTTTCCTTCATCTGGTCAAGCTTCCTCTTCATGTTTGTAGCATAGTCATGTGCGAGCCGGTGCAACTGTTTATTCTCATGCTTGAGCCCTCTAATCTCCTGTTTGAGACTCATCACTTCGGCCGCCAATGATTCAACTTGGCGGGTTCGAGCAAATAGGCGTTGGGCCATATTAGACACAGAACCTGTACACTGAACACTGATAGCCAGTGAATCCTTAACAGCTAACTCATCAGACCGTTTGGAAAGTAGTCTGTTATCTTTGGGAGTGAGAAGGTTCCTGGCCACCACCGCAGCGGTCATATCATTCTTCATCACGGAATCCCCAACGGTAAGAGGACCAGTAGGGGAGACGAAGGATGGGCGCCATATGTTGTCTGGAGAAGGCGGGGCTGCCTCTTCAACAAGGTTCAAGTCAAAACGACGGTCGGAGGGGCCAGACATTTTCAAAGGTATTGAAGACAGAAGAGGTCGGACAAATCCAGATCTTAGAAGTGCAAGAATGGAGCTTCTACTGGTGGAGATTCAAGTGTGCTTTGGAACTTAATGCCAGCCCCTATAAAAAAAAAAAAAAAAAGCTGCACTCGACGGAGCTTCAGACATCGAAGAGGCGCCTGCTCAGAAATCGAAGAGGCGTTTGCTTTCTCAAAAGCTGCTGGGCTGCTTAGAGACCACGAGGGTTAATCTCATAAATCGAAGAGGTGTTTGCTTTCTCAAAAGTTGGGCTGCTCAAAGACCACGAAAGCCGATCTCAGAAATCGAAGAGGCGCTCGCTTCCTCAAAAGCTGGGCTCCTCAGAGACCACGAGGGCCGATCTCAGAAATCGAAGAGGCACCTACTTTTCCAGCCTTGTCAGCACCTGTCACACGCACACTCAGCTTTGCGGAAATTATGGGTATTTCTGTCGAAGACTTCTGGGGAAGTAGAAAACACATGAATCTTACTGTCCAATCACCCACTTCCCACACGCAGCAATAGCTCATGGGTACCACAGATAACTTTGCCAAAGTTCTCTGCCAAAGTTGAGCACGTGAAGCTTGCAGCTCCCACTACATCGCTCTGACCAAGAAGGGTAAAAGAATAGCAAAGAAACAGCACTAACAAAGTTTAGACCCATAAATTTTTGAAGGTCTAGCT